TAGAACGTAACATTGAGCTCTTTCTGTAAACAGTGTCATCTCGCGGCAGTTACATCAACTGAAAACTTAGTGGCATCATAATTTGAAACGGCTACATTTAACTCAGCAACGAGGCCTATCTCAAAAAAAAAAAAAAAAAAATCCCACGACTTGAGAAAATCTATCGATGAATATCCGAATATAGTCGATACGTGCCTCGGAAAACTTTCTCCATTCACCTTAACTTCGAAAAGTTATTCGTATATAGAATAGTCTATGATTGTCCAGGAAAGTCCATAAAGCTTTTTCATCAATGGAGTCTCTAATCTACATTGTACGCTGAGGTAAATTTCTTTTTATTTTTCGAATAGCTCCTCATTAAAAAGCTTTCTCCTCGAGGCGATAATTCAGTTGCCTTGTAAAACATACTAACATAGCTTCTTCTTCAAAGGTCAAACCATTGCATTCAATTCATACTAAGATAGAACGGAAAAACTGTATATCCTGGTTATTTTTTAACTTTTAACTCTTGTGACGTATTCAAACTTCGTGGGATTTCTTTAAGCCTGGGACAGGTTACATGTTTTCCAGTGATAAGTGCGATTGAACGTTTTCCCGCCTTTCTTGCCAGGTAATTGTATATCCGTTACGCGTTGGTAGTAGGTTTGTATCCACACTTTGTACTTGCTGCACCTTATACCGCGATGGTAGCAAGTCCGACGCTTGGCGCGGGATGAATTTTTTTCCCCTTTGTTCCTTCCGTGCTCCGTATTGTCTTCTACTTAATAAAAGCTAGCCACTTACAGAGTACATTCCATTCTATAACTTTTTTGTACAAAAATTCGCAAATTCCTGTTCTTACCGAAGTCATTTCACTTTCGTGGGGTCCCAGCAGAAACGGGAATTGGTGTGCATACGGCCAAGGGCCTCCATGTCAAGTTGAGAAAGATGGAAGTCGGCGAGGAAGATATTGTCTTTAATATGTTGAGCTTTAACAGATTTTGGAATAACCCCTAGAAAAAAAATGAAAAATTTATTAGCCCTTTTCTTTCTTTCTTTTTTTTTTTTTTTTTCGATGAAATAGCCTTTTCTCTTTTTAATGTTCATATTTCGAGGGAGCTTTCAACACCAAACGCATTTAAACGTGTTACTTAAGAGTAACAGTAAGACGATGTGTTAAAATGCTTAAAAATATGGCGTTATATTGGCGAAACTAGTCGCCACTTCTCTACTAAGATAAAGGAGCACACGGGTTTATTACGAATCAACTTAACGGCTCGCTCCCAGTTGGCTTGTTAGCTCAATTGGTAGAGCGCTGCACTAGTATCGCAGAGGTCAGTGGTTCGAGTCCCGTACAGGCCTGATTATTTTCAGGTCTGATTTTCGCTATTGCTTAAATTATAGCGCTATCTACTGCGAGGATCGTGTATCATACATATCTAATACCGCAGTTCAAAATATATGAACTTCATATATTCATTGTATCTCATATGAGATTTTGTTACTTACCAACATCATGCTGAAGAGCCCATTTCAGAAGCACTTGAGCTGTTGATTTGCTGTGCTGTGCAGCCAGGGCACGCACAGTTGTTTCCTCCAAAAGCTTCGAACAATTAATAATGAAAATTACGTCAATAAAAATATGAGGTTTTAAATTAGGCCACCTTGACTCTATCATTAAGTTTACATATGAATCATCAGAAAGATAGCAACAGCTTGTGCTATCGAAAAGTTGTTGCAGCTGAAGATTTTCTGTAGCAATGGCGTCTCGTTTCGAGATAGTTGACGAGGAATATATCGAAGAATTAAAAGACAAGAGTGAAAACGAAAACACGTGGAAAAGCATGGAGTACTGGAAGAACGTTTTTAAAGAGCGGGCGAATGAAAGAAACTTTCAAGCAAATTTGCCGAGTTACGAAAAGAAAACGGGGATGAATATGAGCCCGACTGCCTGAAAGTAATGCAGGTACCACTGCAGAGATATCTAAAATCAAAAGCAAATCAAAAGCCTATCCAAAGTCCTGGTATCTTTGTGCAAAAATAAAATTTCACTCAGCTCAGTCGTGCGTTTATGGCCATTGATTCTCTGTCAACTTTAAATGGTTTCCTATGACTGATTACTGAGGAGCGCATTCAGAAATTCAGTAATTTTCCCCTCAATTTCATTAACAAGTAATCGCAATGGGTCCTCCTAAAATTAAGGATTAATATCACTTGTGTTTTCAGAAGTTGCTGAAAACACGCATGATATTAATCCTTAATTTTACTCGGCCCCATGCGATTACCTATACTAACAAAATTTAGCATCAACAAGAGTGACCCTCAGATTGCTAATGGTAAGGCAATTTTTTCTTTACGCTAGATCTATTAAGAAGTACATTTGAGCGCAATTTGTAAAAAGAGTGGAGGTTCCCTTTAAGAGAATTCGGGCAGGTCTCAGGGCAAATTCAGCCCTTCAAATTTTCTTTCTGTACAGTGTGACACGGAAAATTTTATTTCAAGTCTGGCAAAATAATTACACATTTTAGTTTTGCACGAGTCAAAGAACTTTATCTGATATGGGAGATAAAAATCACACTAACCTACAGATTTGAGGTGTTTTAGAATTTGCACTTTCCCCATCAGTAAAATTTTATTAGGCCTATTTTGACAACTGACCAGTGCGCATTCTTTTATATAATTTTCTTAAAAAAATTTGACTGTATACAGTTGTAAGTTCTAAGTGAAATTTTATAGGGCATATTTTGACAACTGACCTGTATACATTCTTTTCAACACTTTTCTTGAAACAAATTTGACTGCATACAGTTGTATGACCAGGATTAAAGCTCCTTAATATAATTCCATTTAAATTATCTAAAAAACCATATGGTGTCGCATCAAGATTACTCATTCCAGCTAATAAGCTGGTCTTTTCTCCTCTCTTGTTTCTATGATGATGTATGGATTATGTATGGAGAAATTACTTGTTTATCAGATCTAGGAGTGTTTATGAGGTTTTTAGTTTCTCATGAAGCCCTTAATAGTGACTTGCATCTAATTTCACCTCATAGTACCACCAAATATTCAAACATTAAAGTCATGAGAATATAATTAGAAAAATGATGTCTTCCCAAAAGAAGCTCAGGATTGAAGAACAATTCTCCTTATTAGTACCCTTGGAAAATTACCTGTAGAACAGCAGGCATGACAGTTGAAAATTGAAGAAGTTCTTCCAGATGATCTACAGTGTAGTTTGATACTCCAATTGACTTGACTAAACCTGGAAACAAACACCCAGTAAAAGCTAGTTTAATGATGATAATTCAGTGTCAAAGAGACCAGGTGTTCAAATACAATGTACTGGTAAATGGTTGTACTACTGCCTCTAACTGCAGCTGCTTTGGTTGCTATGGTGAGAACAGAAAATTATGAGAAAAAGTTTTAAAGTTTTCTTATTGTCTTTTATATAAATATATATTTCTCCTTGGATGAGAGAACGTTGCATGAACTACTATTAACAATTGCTTTCATTACTGCCATCTTGCCTAATCTCTTGCTTAATTACTGAAGTTCAGTGGCAGTATGATAGGAACTCATGACATATTGCAAAAGCTCTTCTTTCTCAATTCCTTATTTTTGCCACCAAACATTTTCCTCTGCCAAACATTTTCTGATTCAAGGCTCTGTATATGGCGACTTCAAAAAAGAGATTAACCCTGAGCTGCGCTGTATCTCCTAGCTCTTACTTTTCCATCTCCATTTGGAGAGGTTAAATGATATAATCCAATCAGAATAAATTGCCTGTAAGGTGTTTGTTCTATTTCTTTCATAAATTGTAATATGGCAGCATTCATTTCAACTTTCATAATCTTAATAACATTCTCATATTACTGTATGATCAGTGGTTGACATACAGTTTGCATCACAACATTGTTGTGTTAATGGTTGTTGTAGCTCTCTTTATTTGCATTCAAACAGCAAATATAACACCTTTCAGCCATGGTCACAGGCAAAATTGTGTTTTCCTTACTGAAAACCTATCCCATAATACTTCTCACAGGCAGCCACAAGCAGCCCAATAGACAGTACAGTTGTGGTGAGGCTCTGTAGCCAGGCTTTCAGCAATATTCAAGAGTCACTAACCAGTGCTATAAAGTTTCTCTAATGCTTTCCAACTTTCTTGTCTCAGCTCTGCATTCCTAGGATCATCACTCTTGAGTTTTTGAACACCAGGCCAGTGTATGAGATACAGGTCAAGATATTCACAGTCTAGTGCCTTTAAGGACTTCATGAAAGCCTTTTCCGTGTTTTCAAAACCATGATCTCTGGGAGCTGCCAAATTTAAATGAAATGAATACATCAAACTGCTCACAGAAAAATTCTCCTACACTCATTGATACCTACTTCTCTAAGGGGGTATTAAAGAAATCTTTTTACTGATGGCTAAATGGTCTTTTCAAATTCCTCATCAGATTTATGTTCAGTGTCCAGTTTTTTGTTTGTCTGTTTTTTTGTTTGTTTGTTTTTTTTACTTTTATCATGAGGGATGATTGTTTCAAGTAAAATCTTAATTACTGAAAACTGCATGACTAGCCCTGATACATGAATTAGAAAATTGCATAGGTGGGCATTTGAAGGTCTGAAGGCAAATTTGGCAATTTCCATGTGATGCCCAAGGTAGCAATAATTAAAAGTCATATCTTAAATGACATGAAAATACTCACAAAGTTTACTTGTTATGAAGATATCAGATCTGGAGAGACTATACTTGGGCAATAGCTTTTTCAATGCCTCTCCAATATTTGCCTCATTCTGGTACACAGCAGCAGTATCTAGTTAAACAAAATAATCATAAATGTGGACACTGATCAGCTATCATGCCTTAGACCAACACTAAATTATGAGGATATTATCAGTTAGCAAAGCATGGTCACTAAATTACATAGCAGTGACAGGTTCACCCTTTACTCCCTAAGATCAGTATGCATGTTCTCCAACCTGTTCTCTATACATTTCCTGTGATACTGACATGGAGAATGTGTTCAAAAATCAAGAGCTTCTCTTAAATGGGTGATCATTTCCCTTACCGTCACAGCCTCAGTGTTCAATTCAACCATGATACTGTAAGGAGAAATACCAGTACAATGCCAATCACTCAACAGTTAACAGTTAAAGGGTTAATGTGATTTCAACAGCATAGAATGATAAAGAGAATTGCTTCCCCCCCCCCTCCCCTCCCTTCTGGCTGGGATGCTGTGCAATGCCAAGACTAAACCTCCACAACAGCATCTGCATCTAGGTTCTCGATCAATAGATCACTGGCACCTATACCTGTCCACCTCAGTACAAGGCATTTGAACGGACCACAATGCTTAAGTGTCATAGTGTATTTTAAGACAAGGTCCAAAACCAACATCAAATTCTCCCAACTAACATCATGAGAATTGTATTGCAGACAGAAAAGAGAATTACTAAAGAGATCTTGCGAATGAAAAGGGTAACATGAACACATGACTGTTTTGATCTTACCAATAAGCCTGTAGCCACACTGGAATGCTGTTTCAATAGTTCTGTGAACTAAATCGTCCCCTGACACCTGCTTCATCTGAAATGTTCCCACTAATAAACAATACTGCAGGTTATTGGACAAAGTGAGGGATACATACAATATTACATGTGGAAATATTTCATTCATTTCATTTTAACTCAAGAAAATTACATTTATACTCCCTACTTCCCACATTTTTGCTATATTACATACCTAGTTCAAAAAAAATAAATAAAAAAATAATAACTTGGAATAACTTCCGATTTCATATTGTATGAAACAGACTTACGTCCAATCCCTGGCATTTGTTGCCCACTATTTAAAGTATGAACTGGCAACATCTTTAATATGAAAGGATGCAAAACATCTGCATCAAAAAATGAAAAAAATTGGAATATTCTGATAAACGACGAAACGTGACAAATTGATTCCCGTCAGCTTTTAGCCCATATTAAAGCATGCGCGTTACTTGAACCTTTACTGTACATCAGTCCAGCGGCTGCCCCCAGTAAGCGGGAAAATCAAGAGGAAATAACGTGTGACTTGTCACTCTTTGTACATTTGCATGCGAGACACACAAGGATAATTCCCACCTTTGAACAACACAGAATACCCGTCATGTTTATCAAAATGTAAGGTAAGTACACCTCTGTTACAAATTTTTCAGATTTCGACGGGAAATCATCGACCAAAGGCTGAGAAGTTGAAGAAAGTTAGCTTCCTCTCTACGAACACAGGACCTCGTGTAGATTCGATGACGAGACAAAAGTTTTTTAACAACCAAAACATAATTGATCTTTTCCCAAAGACCGCGATGATTTAGCGAGTATATCAGGGGTCAATGCATTGCCTGTTTTTTTTTCTGAGCGACGGTTCATCTGGAAAATCGCTTCAAGCCTCGTAAAGGCACAAGTTTTACTTTTCTCGTTGCGAAAGTCGAGAACCTTTTGTTGTCGTCGCGGAGATCTAAAGGGAACATAGTTGTTTCCGGTCGCGGAAATGAAAACCATAGAATGAGGAGACAATGTTGTTTGACATGTACAATGCTTGGTTAATTGTATGTCCTACTGAATCGTTAAAGTTACATAGAATGAATGATTTGCAGGTGCAAGCCCTAGACGACAGGATTGCACGGTATATCACATTTACCGTTACTCAGTTGCAAAATGTTTTCTTGCTGTAAATATGACTTCGTGTGGAAACTTTCGGGACTTTCTGTCAGCAAAAGAAATTGATTGAGTCTTATCCCGTTTCATAATCGATATAACCTACGAAAACTTCATTATTTAGCGTTTTATTGAACAGAAAAGCAGAAGTGTTCTCTTCAAAATTCGTATTATTACTATTTACTCTCAAAAGTATTTTTAGAAGTTGACTTGTGGCTCTGCTGAAAAACATTACCTGACACTGAACTTTTCGATCTCAGCATATTTTCAAATCCATTAATCTATAGCCAAATTTCTTTTGTTAATTTGTGTCTAGAAAGTTTACTGTAAAGTCGAGAAAAATTTCACACACGTTCAGTTTGGAAGACGTAATATCCTCCTTCACAGGAAACACGTAATCTGCTTTCTGAAGCACGTCTAAGCTGAAATATACGTACCACTGTCGGCTTCGCTTCAGCGAGTACATCACGACTGTACAATGCAGCTCTGTCAAGGAATAACAATGAAAGTGCTAAACGTATTTATTCTGTAGTCACGAGGAATATTTCAATTCCATATTAAAGCGGGTTCGCTTAGAAGCTGACTTTTTTAAGGGAAAATGAGCTCCAGACTACTCACAGGGGATGTAATTTGGTTATTTATTATCAACGTGTGCGAGTGACACAGCTTTGGCTTTTGCGTGGGAGTCCGCTACACCCAAAGTTCTGCTGCATGCTGATATTTACGTCAATTTTTTATTTTGAAATTTTTATAGTTATTTTTTGTTCGCGTTGACAGAATTCCGCAGTCCTCTATTTAAAAGCTGATTTCATTCGTCGGTTTATTACTGTTGTGTTGCACGAATTGTCAACTTTAACCCCGCGAGCACCACTTTGAACGTCGATATTTAATTTTTATTACATTGTTCAAGGCGGTTTTGTGGGAGTTTCTTCAGTGCGTGAAATACAACGTCACCATTTATACAAAAGCTACTAAGCAGTTCCTTCATTTTCTACTGTTTGTTTTTCTTAATTTGCAAAATCCGTTTTAAGTGAAATTTCTTAGTTTGAAAATAGATTCTGCTACAACCCGCTTAGATCACGAAGATGAAATGGAATTTTTTTTGTGCAGCTTTGTAAACTTTCCGGGAAAAAAGCTTTGTTTATTTAACTTGCTGTTGATATTGACTGCACCTTTGTTTTGAAGTTTTTCAAATTTGTACAGAGAGGTTTCGTGTGCCTAATCTTTATAAATAGTATCGTCATCTAAATATAGCAGTTTGTTCCTCAACAACCCAGTTTTAATGGCAGTCGCCCTGACGACGGAGAATGAAGGATCATTCGACGTCATGTTCCTGCTTTCAACGGACGAACAACTGAACATAATTTATAGCAAAAAAGATAATTTGCATTTCGAATTAAGTTTTCTCGCCAAAGGCAGAAAAATCTACATTTACCGGTTAGAGCATGCATTAAATTGTTTCAAAGCGGAAACCGCATTTGTGTTCCTGTTTGAGCAAATAGAAACCCCATTCGTTTGTACTTCCTTTTTGCTTTGACAAGACGCTCTTGGATTCAGTAATGTCATGCACAATGCAGCATGATATCCTGCAAGCGACATTTAGTATTGATCTGACTGGATTATCAGGTGAAACTTATTTTAGTGGCACAACGTTTGAGAGAATGAATCCTGCTGATCTAGTTCTCGTGATGCCCTTTCCGGCTTTCGAATTCCGTAAGCCTTAGCTGATGAAGCTTTGTACACCACGGAAATCGAGGCTACAGAGTACTTTTAAGTTTTTTCTGAAATTTGCAATTCGCAATCTGTGTCAAATTTCTCTATCCTTAATCGCCTTCGTTTCCAAGTGACTCAGACACAACGAAGTTATCACTGCTATTTCGGAGGTTTTTATCTTATCAAACTGTCAGTTATGTCGCTCTACATTACGTTGGTATTTGCCTTAAAGTATGATTTTGCTGATGTAAATGCGAGTTTGTCTGTACACCCAAACCCAGAGGTATGAGGCGATGTTAGGGCCCTTCCCTCGTGGTGACCTTTGATTACAGCATTTCGCTGATAGGGCTTGATTTTCAAGAGCTCTGGTAGGTTATCAGATACCTGATTCACGCGTTTGGTATTTTCTTCCGCTAAAATAGCGCTGTTTTCCTTTTACGCTGCATTTACAAATATCAGTGGCCTTTTACTTGGCCCTGCTTGTTGATGTATTTCCGTAATTCAACATCAATTTTCATCTGCAGAAAATGAAGTTATACTAGCAGCCTCGGAACGGGTCGAAAACTGTTCGGATTGTGTTTGTTACCTCTTCGGAGAGAAGTTCGGGAGTTATTCAGTACGGACCGGAATAAACGCCGAACTAATTCAGTGAGTTTGAACACAAATGAAACTAATTCTTATCAACATACCAAGGGAATGAATGATGACAAAATTTGAAGGAACGGCGATCGCAAAGATACATCTTTGCGGTAATTACAACAGAATACGAGGTATCGGAAAAGTAAAACCAAAATAATCCAACAGAACAAAACAAAAATGTCTAAGGGAGCCAATGGGAGCTCAAAATAAAATCAAGCGCAGGAAAACACGGGTGAGAAAGTTGAATTTTATGCACCTGAATGGTTAAGAAAGTAGCGCAAAATTTGTATACCCATCAAGGACTAAAGTCTAGCAAAAGCAAAGCAATCCCCAATTGCTCCAAAACTAAATTACGCATTGCTGTATTCTCGCAGCACAATTTGAGCTATCGTGGATGAAATGCCGAAAAGAAAGCGCGGAGTGTGGAAGCGGTCTTCATGTAACCCAAGTCGAGTATCGTCGTCCACTGCTTTTGTAAAGCCCAAAGAGGACGAGGACGCAGTGTCCATCTGGGTCCAGTGCGAGATTGAGAGCTGTCAAAAATGGCGCCAAATTTCAGCCGAGGAAGCCGAGGGCTTAGGGGACAGCGCTTGGTATTGCTGGCTCAATCGTGACACGCGCTACAACAACTGCTCCGCCTTGGAACAGAAAGCCAAGAAACCCAAGCATATGAAATACATATACAGTCTGCTTCCCCTGGGGGAGGTGGTCATGGCTAAATTGTCGGGTTACCCGCCGTAAGTGTGTACCTGATTTGCTTCTGATTATTATTGTGGTTTTCGTTTAATTGATTAACCCTCCACTGAACGCAAAGGCTCAGCGAGAGGCGAAAGCCCATGACCTGATTCTACGTCGAACTGGTACGTAGAGTTTGGATTTTCTTACTGGGATAGAAATACTGGAGAAAGTGATGAAAAACTCTCTCAGCAAGGACAAGAACTAACAACAACTTGTACTAAAATATGCAAATCCCTAGTCGAGAAATCGAAATCTAGCCACAACGGTCGGAAGGAAGCGCTCTTACAAATGCGAATGTTTGTTAAACGAGTCACTGACTAGTGGGTTGTTGAATTGGAAACCTGGCGTAGAGTCTCGAGTGAATCAATTTTTTTCTGTCTAGCTTATTTGTTTCTGATTTTCCATAGAGAACAAAGACTCAGTAGGGTCTTTTCCTGGTTTTCAAATTATTAGCCTATGGGAGATTCGCAACTTTTTTTTTTCCGGAAGACTCGGATAGAGGCGTCGGAAGCTTTAATTTCTTTTAGTGTTTACTATCCATTCGAGTAAATTCTTTAGACCCTTCCTATGTTTCATAATTTTTTGAGTTTTTTGGTTCGTCCGTCTCATCACTTAATTTTCTTTTAAACCAAGTTGGCCAGGAATACTTACCCGTGATCCAACTTGCGGCGAGTACTACGACGCTCCGCTGGACAAAGAGAACGAAATCACCCATTATCACGTAGAATTTTTCGGCCAGCCTCGTTCCCGTGCATGGCTGGTGCCAGCCCGCGTGCATCCGCTGCGTTCCATGAACGAGACTAAGATGGTTCCTCAATTCAGAAAGATTCAGGGAAGGCAAGTGATTGAACTCAAGAAGTCGTACGAGTTTGCGCTCAAGGAAGCGCAGAGCTCCCTTAACACGACTGCAGAGGAGAGGATAGAGACGTGTCACTTCAAATATGTTGAGGGTGAGTCACTGAAGTCGTCTGCACAAAATTTTGCTTTGGTATCGAGGAAGAAATACATCCCATTAAACTATATACTGCACCAGTTTTATCATCACCATGATATTTCTTTGATATTTCAAAAAGTAAACTAATCATTTGCAAATTGTCTTCCAAATGTCCAAAAAACGCGGCTGTATATACCACCATTCACAAAAAAACTGCTCAGTAGCCTGGTTGCACACGAAAAACTTTAACGCCAAAAGCCCTCGCTCTGGTTGGTGCAAAAAAAACGAAACTCTTTTGAGTCAAGAATACCTTTTTGTGTAGCTTATAATTGCTCAAACAGATTGCCGAGATGTGGAAAAGGAATAGTTGGACTAGGTTTCTTCAAAGTGGCCTCCATAACCTAATTGATAGAACATACGTGAGGCGGGAGTAGTCCAGTGGTCAGTGCGCTGGACACTGGGTCAGACGGCCCGGGTTCAAGTCTTGGCTGGAGACGTTGTGTCCTTAAGCAAGACGCTTTAATCACATTGCTTCGTCTTCTCGGATAGGACGTAAAGCCGGAGGTCCCGTCTCTTGCAGGGTAAGGGGGTAAGAGACGTTAATTTCCTACGCACGAGATTACTGTGTGATGGATGTCCTCCCCTGGGGCGGTATGAGTGGGTTATTATTTGGGTGGACTAGCTTGAAGGGATTCATGTTCCTGTTCTACTCCTTCCCCACTACGGTTAATGCAGGAAAATGACTAAACTAAACTAAAATGTGATTACAATTTTCTAAAGGTTATGGATTCCCCTTTAGACTCCTCAAAACAAGGCCATTGTCAAATACGCGTTTTGCTATAATTTTTTAATGGCGGGGATAAAAGTTGTGTGATTTTTGGAGCATACTTCTCCTGCATGAAGATCTTCTCATAAAGGTATCGAAAACTAATCTGGCAGACCGTATTGAAATGTAGGTTTTATTTCTATAGAGAGAAAATAAGGCTTGATCAGGAAAGGTCCATTTCATTTTAAACCGTGAACATAAAAGAATCCACACGAATCAGTTGTAGCAATTTGATGAGATGATGAAACTATCCTGGCAGTTATATTTTGCAATTGGAGTTCAACTGGATTGGAATCTGTGATCTCCCGAAGCTCCTGTAAATGTTTGAGCCTACAGTTCACCTCCTCCTGATGTCAATTTCGTTTCCAGGGTCCACTCTCACCAATGGAGGAGAGGAGACATTGGAAACGAGCTCGCAACTTAGTTGGTTAGAGCACCCCTAAGGGCTCTCGTGGTAAAAGGTACGAAACCAGGTTATTTCGTTATCTCATATTTCGTTTTCAACGCATTTCACAGAGGAAGACAAACCCAACCAGGTTGCAGTTGGCATGGAGAGAGCAGATCCAGCTGAAAAAGTCGAAGTGCCCGCCAAAATTCCCGCACGCCGCAATACCGACACTCCGTTGAACTCCCCAACGATTCCTTTACTAGCAAATATCCACTTTGGGGTCGAACAAGGAAACTTGTTAAATCCAGACCTGAAGGTATGTAATGATTGCGACGAAGGAAAACAGAATTAATAATAATGTCAATGTTCTCCATCCTTAGTCCTCTCTACTCTTCTATTATTTCTTCGTCTCACTTTCGTGTTCACATATCTGAACAATGTAACTGTTTTTGGACTCCCTCTGCGGGCAAAGCATTTTTGCATGTTGCTGAAAATATCAAAATATTTTAGCGCAAAATATCAAGAAATAGCCGCCGGCAGTTCCAACCGTGGACTTGTCAGCAAAAGCATATGTTCGATATTTTACGATAGAAGCGAGGAAACGTGAATCAATTTCTCCGAGTCGAAGCTTACCAGTAACTTCCCTTAAAAATACTGCGGAATGAGAGACTCGTGTTTAACCGATTTTTAAATGAATCTGTGCGGGGAAGACCACGCGAAACATGGTGAAGGACAGTCTAGAGACAAAGTAGGGTGCAGAGTTTGAGAACCTGGACTAAGTAGCTAGAGCTACAGAAAATAGAGCAGCCTGGAGATTGGGACGGGTTAGCTCTGGCAGGATGACCCCTCTGGCTCATTTTTTTTCTCTATTTTACTGTCTTGTAGGAAAAAGAATTCCTGGAGCGTCTGCAGTCGTTTTCATTAGAGCGAGGGGTCAGTTTACCCAAAGCACCTGTCTGGCGAGGGAAAAGCATCAATCTGCTTAGATTCTACAAGTTGGTTCAGAAACGTGGGGGATTTGAAAAAGTAAACCAGTAGGCAGCATGCATAAAGATGTAACGTCACCTCGTTAACTTTACGAGGGATAAGATGGGGTCGTGATATAAAGTAGATCCCAGAATTGGAAAAAGCGCGATGAAATGATCAAGATCTCCATTTTTGAGACAACTGAGGTTGATTAAAATGCGATTTTTGACAACAATTTTAAAGTTTCGCCTTTTTTCCTTTCAATTACTGATTTTCTAAGAAGCTAAAAGAACTGTACGATATCGTATTTTAACGACAATGGCGTCGAAATTATTGTTTTCTTACATTTTTATCAGGTCATCTTCTGGTTGACGAGGTCACGTGACATTTATGCGTGCAAAATTCCCAGAACTCGCAATTACTTGGAATCATTTATTAGTTTATTTATTTCTACATTTTTCTCAGCGAAAAAAAGAAGGATTGTATTTGTAATAATCATGGTTGTCACAGTTCAGCAAAAGGTCAGGGAAAGATCACAGAAATTCTTTAAGATCTGGAAAAATCAGGGAATTTCACTTCGAGTCATGTAAAATTAACATCTTTAAAAGAAGTCAACCAAAAGAGAAAGTTCAAGTACACATGAGATAGTGGCACTAGTTATGGTGCTCATTTTAGAATATTCGCGAGAGCAGAAAGATTAAGATACGATTTGAACGTTAGAGCTACGTCAGCAAGCGTTCGCACGTGCATTAAGTCTGAACACATCTAACCTATCCTTTGAAGAAAATTGAAATTGAAATGAAAAAAGGGAAAAGACAAGAAAAAAAAGAATGGCGCGGCCAGAGTTTGAACCTTATACCTTCGGATTTGAGAGGAGAAGGTATATCCATAGCACCAGGTAACCGTAAGCAGAGCGCATGAAGTGACGAAGTTTTGACAAGTCCTACTTTTGTCACAAGTTTGGCATCGGTGTTAAAGAGCTGTTCATTAACCACTCTTCATTTTACACCACATTGCCTTTTTTACTCAGTACTCTAAAACTATACAACAGTAGAAACATGAAGTCATGAACTGTCTTTTATTAGTTTTCGTTTGTCTGTTTTTTATTTATGACTCATTTTCTGCAATATCATTCAGGTTTGTCGGCGCAGAATGTGGGACGAATTGTATAACGAGTTGGTGGAGTCGAATGAGATATATGAAGGAATAAGCACGCCTGCACAAGTTTTCTACCAAAAGTAAGTAAATGAAAACAAAATAGACCACTAAACTTTCGTGTGTTCTCTTTAGTTCGTCGTCCATCTGCCGGTCCAACCATTCGAAAATCCGTTTGTTTCTCTCTTACTCTTTCGTTCGCCCTCACTCTGTCCCTTTTTTGCGTTTTTTAACGTCCACTTTTTCATTCGTTCGTTCACCATTCAGTTATTCGACCGTTCTTCTCTTCTATTACGTTTGTTTGTTCGTTCGTTCGTTCGTTCGTGCGTGCGTGCGTGCGTGCGTAAGTTCGTTCGTTGGTTGTCACTCCTTCCCTTCGGCGTTCTTGATTTTTTTCCGTTCGTCTTCCTTCCCTGCTTAAATTCGTCTTCATGTGTATTCTTTTGTTTGTTCCGCTTTTTCATTGTTAGTTCCTTGTTCGTCAATCTGTGTACTCTTGTAATCATTCCTGTAAGAACCAAGGAATGGGCGATGGGGAACAGACGGGAATGGGGAAACTAAGAATGGACATACGAAGAAAGCACGAATGGGGTTACAAGTACACAAATCAACGAGGAAACACAGAGGATGCATACATTGTCATAATTGATAAATGAAAGTGCAGAGAAGCCATGTTTTACCAAGGGAACCTACTTCTCTTGATACTGAAACACAGTTTTAACATTTATATCTTATTACTTTTATAGATATCTGATGCCCTTTGAGCATCATCTCGGAAGTGAAAAGACGAACGGTACGTGCAGAATTTTTATTTTATCTCATTTTGTTTATATATTTTATTACTTTGATGTTTTGTGATTCAACTCTGACCTTCTCTTATCGACTTGACTTCGACTGACGTCCATTCATTTCTTACGGCTTTTGTCATTTCTTTTTGTGTTCCTCAAGAGTTCCAATTTGTCCCAAACGATGTTTACAAACCGCCTCCTAAGTGGCCAAGCTCTAAACCAGTCTGCCAGCGGAGAAGGACTTCCTGCTCGTCAGCTACGGACGAAGGTAAGTTGCCTTGAAGAGTCTACAACACCATATTTTAAGAAAATTTTCGTCTTTTTTTTAAGGTTGCTGTAGACCCTTAAGGTTGTCTTCCGGAAAATCGTTCGTACGCACGTTGCTTTTAGTAAAACCTTTGAAAATAATAGTTAGTAACTATTCTAAAAAACAGTTCTACCCCGTATCTTGCCATTTTTTTTTTTTTTTTTGCACCAAAGAATAATTATATGTTTGCGCTCCAGAATACAAGATAAAACGTCTCAAAATTTGTTACCTAAGGCCGGTCTTCAGTAACCTTATAGGAAAAAAAAAAAAAAAAAAGAAGTTAAATATCAACCAAAAGAGAGAAAAGGGACAGCTAAGAATGAGAGATTGAAGCGGGTTCCAATTGATGAACTCATTTTTTTTTAAGAGTCAAAACCGCGACTTCCAATTCGTCATTATTCTTTCCCCAGGTGAACAAATGGTGCCTCAGAATTCCCACGTAACTCACAAACAAAGCGCAGATTCGAAGAAAGACCACGGCACTTGTGAAAATGTGAACAACACAGTGGTGAATAGGGGTAAGTCATTATAATTCCATACATGCCCTTTTGAAATAAATCTTTGAAGCCAATACTACTCAAGATTATCCTAATTCCGCCGTGATAAGCGACGACTAACATTGCATCTCCTCGTGTATGCGATTCTAGTAAGTTGCAGGAAACCCGAAAGCTTTTAGTCAGGTTTGATGGGAAGTTTTCTGTTTTACACTCAGGGGTTGAAAGAGATAAACCGAGACTGAAAATTCTGGACCAAAGATAAACCAGCATGCCCCAGTCAGGAATTGTACAAGGGCTTTTTGCCAATTGAGAATCCTGCGAATTTATTCCATTGTTAGGACGTTATATTATCTTGCATAGTCGTAATCGTTGTTTTTTCCAATCCTTTCCAGCTTTCCAGTCATGCACACCTTTACCAAGAGAGGCGAGTCGGGATGAGGTTCCCAGTTCGAATCCACATTCCCCTCACCTGTCGTTTGGCGGCTGTTCTTTTGATAGCGATGGTAAGTAACCCATTTGCGAGGAGAGTCGTCGGATGCATTTAAAACCCAATTTTTCGAGCGCGGTTAAAATGTGGTCATACTTCATGTCGCCTTTTTTTCGCGGAAGTTTATCGTGTGATCATAAGCTTTTTTCCGTTAGTTTGTCTGTTTGTTTCTTTGTATCTTTTTTTTTTGTAATGTGTATTTGTGTATGTCACTTTCCTTGCTGATGTTTTTGTAAAGAAAAAATTTGCGTCCGAATTGCGATCATAGTTCGTATGCAGCCACTCTTGTCTCCGAGGTTAGGTATGTCATGACTTTTTTGCTTTGGTTCCTTTTCGTTAACTTCTCTTTATTGAGTCTGTTTGCTTTCTTTTCCCCGTTGGTCGTTGTGAACAAAAAGTTTCATAAATAAATTTATAAATAGGTTGTAACCTACCCATATACTTAGGTTTTTCTTTTCATAGAAACGAGGCCTGCCGTAGTATGGCAATGGTTCCGTTTAACTTCGGGTAGATGAGTCAGCTTTGGAAGGTCCCATCTAATTTTGGATTATTCCGTCTAATCCTGACCAGGTGCAACAAATTCTGGACGATTTCGTCTATTTTTGGAAAGGTCCATCCTGATTTTAATAACCCAGTTTTTTTAAGACATCTTTTTATGTTCTCTGAGTAGTGTATCGTGAGTTGATTTTGTGTACATTTAAACAACAGATGACGAAAGCACAAGTTCCACTTGCGAAGCAGCGGAGCGTGAACTTCAACAGCTAGAGAGATTGTTGTTGTCCCTTGAGCCCTCCCTTTACCCTCAGACAGGTCAGTGTACCCAACCCACCTATTTCATGCACGAGTTATAGGCATTGTACGGTGTTGCAACTCCAGTGTTGTCTTACTAGAACATGAGTAGAGATATTAGGGGGCGAGGCAAAATAACTCTTAACTACTATAATAATGAAAGTTGATATTCTGGTTCTCTCGAATCCTATGCTGCTTATGACCAAGATGCACTATGTCATGTACTGCGCTCCATTTTCTAAAATTAGTCCTATTTTCAACTACGATTGCTCCTTTAAGCGTACGCCATTACCAAAAAGTGTTCTGCTGTCGCTTAAGCCCTCACTTTAGTCCTGAACAGGTCAGTATAATTGCCCTACCCGTGCCATGCGCGATTTTGAAGCACTGCAGAATGTTGTGATTTGGTTACTGTTTTGGCATAGTAGATTGGTAGGATGGAGTTAGGGAAAATAGGAACAGCCTTAACTACTATGATGAGAATTGATGTCCTCTTTATCTCATGTATTAATTTTGGCCACGATACCTTATGCCGATTATTGCGCCCCATTTTCAGAAACTTGGTTTATTTTTAACCGCGATTGCTCGGTGAAACGTCTTCCAATACCACAAAGAGTTCCAGTCAAGATAACTAGATCGAGAGAAAAATCTATGACATTTTCATACGAGATTTATTTTGCAATGTGTGACCCTGCTAATTTAGTGTTAAACCCGGAACAGATGTTACATGTAGTTTCCGTTTTACATACAAAAATGCTGAGTTGAAGAGAACTGTTAAGTTTCGGGAAGGTTATGTTTGGAAGATTAAACTAATGTTGTTTCTTGGTTCTTTTTAATAAGGTGATGCACTCTCCAAGAGCAGGTTAGAGTTATTTTTATTTTGCTGTCTCTCCAAAACTACTGAACGTGTTCTTCTTTGCATGCTATTTCTAACGCACCGCAAAGCAGACCAATTTTGTAGCAGTGCTCAAACGCAAATGGTGACAGACAGATGGCACTGACTGCTACCAGAGTCAAAGAAACAAAAAATGAGACGCGAGAGTTCGGTGTATACAAAATAATCGTTCTCATTTCTATCTAAACTAGTTCATATGCCGTCAGACTATCGTTTCGTGTTGTTTGCACCTTATTTCTGACTTTTCAGTCTGACTTTAGGCGGTACAGTATGATTTCGAACGGTTCTGTCCGATTTTGAAAGGTTCCGTCAGACTTTAGACGGTGATGACGAATATTATTTTTGAGAAGAGTACAGTCCACGGTAAACCACCGTCGATTTATTTTTCACCGCAATATCGACGTCAGATAGAGTGATTTTTTCAATGCGTGACACGTTGCGAGACACCTTGACGCGAGTGGCATTGTCTGTATTCTTATCGACCACGACAAATGGGCCAATCAGATTGCGACATTACTTCTAATCACGGTAATTTTTTTTTTCCAACAAAACAGAGAGCAGCAAGTGGTAAAACAGTTCCCTCATGAAGAGCCTGTAGGTATAAACAAAACTACGGAGGAAGTAGACCTTACAAGAACTTTGGATGAAATAGCCAGAATAGAAGGTAATGTTTAGCGGGGTCATTTAAGAGCAATTTTCCGAGAAAGTGAAGCAAAGTTGGAGATCAAAATTTTTAACCCCCCTTCATTTTTTGTGTGGAATTAGGTTACCTGGGGGTATGAACAAAAACAGCCATATTTGGATTGGCAGGTTGTCGTTGCCATGGTAACCGCACTTGATCACGTCGGCTTGAGGTCTATGTTTTGACCATAAAATTCACCCTTAAGAAGTAAAAATAAACGAGTCAGGTTGTCGGGTGTATGTGAACCAATTTAAATGAAATTCTTGCTAATGGTAGAGGTACTCTCTTAGTTCATAAAATTCGCCGATAAAGTATTTTGGGTTTTACGATCAAGAAGGCAATGCTCGTAATACTAAGTTACCTGTCCGCCATTTTGACAAGCAGGAAAAACAAGCACAACCATATTCGGAATTTCTCCGGAAGTATTATTTCCGCAAAGAACAAATTAGTAGCATAACTAACATAGATATTGGAGTTCCTAAATATCATAGAATCTAGTCGGGGAAAATTATATTTTGGAAATGGGTGTTGAAGACATCCGAGGCAAGTTGCAAAAAATTGCAAAATTTTAAATTTTTAGGGCTGCATTATTTGGCTCAAACAGGGTTTAGAGAATATCAGCTTCAGAAGTATTTTCTATCATCTTATCTGTTATATACATTTGATTGATTTGGTTTTGACCGACGAATTTGATGAAATATAAATTGAAACTAAGCCTACCTTGCAACTTTTGGAAATTTCTTCAGGATGCCTTTGTTGCATAGTATGGGTCTCTTCTCAGTTCGCTCGCTCCATTTTCTTGACCCAGTTTTGCACAGACTCTAGCGGAAAGGTCAAATCTAACTGGCTAGCCTCACCGAACATCTACTTTGAGACCAGAGATAACGATGCATTAACCCGAATAAAGGTCAGTCGAACAGGTCAAACCCAGTCGTGTTGAGTATCGAAGTAATTCATTGATACAATCCATCCAGGAAGTTTATTAGATGGATCAAGATCACAGCTGAGCAAATGCATGTCTGCAACGATTCTAAATTAAGTCTTTGACTAAATCGAGCCGTGAGAAGCGAAGAAATCGTTGTTTACGACCACACGTATGTAGACCGGATATGCGATGAGCAAAACTGCTGACCGGATGTACTTTAAAATGCGATTTTCGCGCTTTTTGGTTGTTTGTTTTTATAGCTTCAGATAAAGCGACATTGTCGCAATGGCATTGTCTCTTCTTTAGATGTTTTTGGCACAATATATCATTGATTAGAGGGATAAAAGGACGACTTTTGATCCGCTTTTATGATTTTTTTACAGTGGTGAATAAAGAGGACGAACGAAAAGCGCTTCACTGATCGTTTTACGCAACCTAATATTTGTCCACAAAAGCCGCCCATGTTTCCTGGGTTTGTTTGTTTTTTTATTCATTGCTCATGGGATATCATAGTTAGTAGAGGGGACTAACTATGTTAGATATTAATGATGGCCTGCATGTATGATAGGTCGCTGATCTAGGGCATTAGAGTACACATTAGAAATTAGGAAGGTGTAATTTTTGACCCACCTCTCCTCCAGAAGTAAATAAGTCTTCTTCAGGCCGATAAATTTTCACATTCAGTACCTAATGCCTACCCAAATCTTGGCATTCTTTCTGTTTGTTTATTTATTTATTTATTTATTTGTATGTTTGTTGTTGTTGTTTGTTAGTTTGTTGCTGTTTTTCTTTGTTGGTGGGGGAAGGGGCGACCGGAGGTAAATTTGTGCCGTCGATCAAAAACCCTGAAAGGGAAATTTGCACAGCGTCGTGCGAAGGAAAATATCCTGGTCGGGACAATGGAAAATTGTTGTTTTTTAAATCCGAAAGGGGACGTTTGTGAGTAGAAACAATAAAAACTCAGTGAATGTCAAAGGATATTTCCAGGCACGTGCAAGCCTACGGACTTGGTATAAACCGTGATGAAATCAACGATAAAATGGATCTAATTCTTTACCGTGCTGGTATATACATATAACATTTCACGTGCGTATTTTTCATCCTCTTGTCACGAATAGTTAATCATAACTGAATTTGTAATTGCAATTTCATAGTCTGTAAAGCAATCTTTTTGTTTTTGGATGCGGCTATTATGATCATGCGTTCAATTTTCACCCAAGCTTCAGTTCAGCTTCATTGACTTTGTTTTTGTTTTTAGATTTATGTTATGATGCATATTCTCAGCATCTGTTTAAAGAAACTGGTTTTCTTCGTGCATGGTACATTGTTGTTGCGCTGTTTCTAAGTCTGTTTGCATCAGGGTACTGGATATGCCTAAAAGCATACATTGTTTACAAGGGTTTTTTTAAGTTAATGACGATGAAGCAAGCTCGCTTGATATTTGTCAACATCACCAAGATTGTCTGGGGATTTACTGAAGGGGCCGGTGCAAAAACTGTCAAGTACAGCTCGGTAAAAGACCCTGAATCCCAGTGTATCAAGAAGAGACAGGAAAACTCATTCCCGTAGCACCCAAAGTTTTCAACCCTGTTGCCAGTTTCCTGGGGTATGAGATTGCTCAACGTTTCATTTTTCCTTGATGCTTCGGTTTTTCTGTTTTCCTTGTTTTTTTTCTTTTGGGGGGGGGAGAGGAAGGCTTTCTTCACCATTGCCATTGTAAAACAACCCCATAACAAGAGGATATCATTACACTTGCATCCAGTGTTACCTCCCATTACATTGTATTACATCCGGTCAGCAGTCGTGCTTCTCGAACTTCAGGACTACGCGTTTAGTTTATTCACCATTCTAGGCTTATCGACTGTCGTAATATTTGACTCGATTTTAGCCGAAGACGTTACTTTGGATTGTTTAAAGGCATGCATTTGCTTTGTACATTGATCTCCAAACATTAACTTTGCTTCCTGGTTCGATAATATTGATGAATTTAGGTGCTCGACGGCAGAAATCGCAAGTATTACGACCATGTTTTGACCTTGTCAACTATTCTTTGTCAAGTGTATCCGGGCTACTTGTATCATCATCTCTGGTCTGAAACACGGCAAACTGGATATTCGATGGGAT